TGAAATTACTGGCTTTCTCCCTACATACGACACCCTGTATTGTTATAGTCTTAGCATAGTACCGTGCTTGCTGTAAAAAGTGCGCGGTGTTGAGTTTAATGAGCAATTAATTACTAATGATTAAATAGACAGCACCTCTTTATTTTAGTCGCATGTGCACCAAAATCGAGATTGTTTAGGTCTTTTAGAATTCAGAGGCGCATGCACAAAATCAGAGAGATTCGCCTCCTAGGTTCGGTGTAATATGAGGTCGACAAGTTGTCCATTTGGTGTTGTCCGGACTAGGCCTATAGATCTAGAAATCCAGATCTAAAAACATAGCACGCATTGTTTTCTAGATCTTGACTGGGAGATGAGCACTGAATCAGATCTAGGAGATGAAGTTTACCGTCCCAATTCCTGTTGCCACGGGACTGGTCAGATTCGCGGTCTGACCCAAGCTGTACTGTCTCGTTTGCGTGGCTCGGTCTCTGTGTGGAATAAGAGTATAATAGATCTATCGGTACAGACAGAACTGTGAAAAATGAACAGTGAACAGGTACCACAGAATTCTATAAGTAGTGTAGAATTCTGTGACAGAGTGGTAACAGCCAAGACAATGACAGATACTTACCCTTGGACAGGGGAGTAACTCTCCCAGTTAGATAAGGCGATTATAAGTTCACTGAGTTATGTCCCTGTTCTTACAAAACTCTTTTGTTACCAATTGCCAATTACCAAACAAACATAATCCACGTCCACTCTCCATTCGGGCTGATGCGTCATAAGTCATAATCAATCATCATCATCATCAACATCACCATCGTTATCGTCATCATCATCATCTGTGAGGAAAAGGAGGACAGAGGGAGGTCTATGGGAGAAGGATAGAAGGTACTCACACTCTGTTTGTGTGTGTGTCAGCGGCAGCTCGTGGGGCTAAAAAGTGGGTGTGCACAATTACTTAAGCTATCACAAGCTGAAGATAGCCAAGGGCATAGTAAATGTGATGGTGTATAATTTTAGGATCTTTGGGTTTGGTGAGGGAGAACCTCGTGCTTTTATTTTCATTCTTTTTACTTTTCGCTTTGATTTCTAGATCTAGAACTTAGAATCTGTTGGTTAGCGAAACATCAAATTCGTTCATCATGAGAACTGAACACTCCAAAAATGACTTTCACCATTCCACTACAAAACCATTCAAAGGCACAACCCATAGGACGGTGACTTAAAAGTATGTCACGTTCACCTGCTATGTGTATCGGCACTATTCGGCAGGAGCACATTTGAGATGTGCCGGCTTATTAATAATGTGGTTAATATTAATGGACCGCCAAACTAGCTACGAGTGTCGCCATAAAGGCACTCTCAACGTTCTGGAAACTGCAAAAGAAGATGTGTGGACAGGGTCACTCAAAAACCACCGTGAATGTGAAGGACGAGTCAGGAAAGACACTCCAAACTGA